AGCAAGTAACTCATTCGGACGTGTAGTGGAATTATAGCATGTATATTTGTACTGCCAGATTTCATCTATCCTCGTCACAAGATAACCTTTCTCAATTCCTGTATGTAGTTTATACGACACCCACGTGCCCTCGAAACTCACGTTCCACTGAGTTATTGTGAGTGCATGCAGATTGTGAAAATGTTTCGTAACATGTGCGACAAAGTGCGAATAATAATTTTCCGTGTACAGGATATGGTAATATCGGATGGAAAAGATCGCGTGGGGGGAATGCATGACATCGTATGAGATCCATGACCTGCTCGAAATTGAAATTTGGTGCTTCTTTAATCATGCGGAATATTCATCTCCTACGTAGACATTGGGATGTTTGATTGGATAAACACCGGTTTTCAATATATACGAGTAGAGAATACACATCTATGTAACGTATCTTCTCGTTATTCATAACTTCGTATCGTGTTACGATATTACCAGTACGTCCGCCGAAAAATGCATAACGAGGATCAAGAGGCGGAATTTGTATCATCAGATGATTCTTGAGAAATTCGTGATTTTCTCAATTTGCGCATTTCTTCGTCGAAAATATATTCCCACTTTTCCGTCACGATATAACCTGCGATATAACGTAACCGCCAGGTCGTTGCAAACATTCATTTATATAACGTATCAAATGTTTCTTTAGAATTTCCAATTGGTTTATAGCGGTTTATTCGGTAACAAGTCGGGCATCCATGAAAGAAGCAACCGTGCAAAACGTGACGTTGCGTCTCATCCTCGTTCTCGTAATATCTGTCGATGTCTTCTGTTAACTGATATATTCTCATCCGTGTCCAGCGTGAATAATACGATGTCCAATCTCGCGTTCCTTTAAAATTAACCATTGTATGTCTTTGCATGATTAATTTTCTTTATCTGTATCCCCTCGACGAAATGACGCTATTTCTTCTTTGTGCAAAAAGTTTTTCCGAAATACTCTCATACACATCAGGCAAAGATCGCATATTTTATAAATGGTCATGCGTTTCCGCGCTCTAAAAATATTTTTCTAAACACCGATCATGCTCGACAAAGAATATCAAGAATATCGGTACGGCAATAATCGACTATTTCTCTATTTGAAAATTGAATATGATATTTTTCGACATTTCCGCATGCCATGCAAGAAAAAATTCGCGAAAAAATTCCTCCGTTTGCATCGTTTCAGGTGCGTAGCAACTAACGTCAAGCAGCGGATCAAAGTACATTTGATTATGGCGAATATTAAATAAATACGGAAAGATGTCTTTGTCGCAGGTTTTCGGCAACCCGAAGGCTTTCGGTAATTCCGACAATCACATTGGCATATAATTAATACTACGATAAATTTTGTATATCTCACTAAAACGATAATTTTTGTGTCATTTAAAATCACTCGAGGTTCTAATCTACAGTGATTTTCAACGATGTATTGGAGAATGAACTGTGTTGAAAGCTTTCGCGTTGTGCGCTATACAGACAATTCAAATAAAATTTTTCATGGGACATGACGCGAATACGACAAATTCCTTTACGGGATCGTGACAAAAACAAATTCATACGTTCCACATCAACGACAAAGTTGCGATAAATATAATACTTCCACGCACGAATCGCAAATTTGTTGAGCGACGCAGAGTGTTAGGACGTGAATTTTTTATATCATTAAGCGAATCATCTTTTCAAAATCACAGAACACGAATGCAGTTCGTTTCTTCTTACGTTCTTGTTCGCTCGCATCGGTATTATTTTGTTCACTCTTTCTCGCGATTACGGAAGAATCTCCGTAAGTATCGGATTCGTCAACGGAGGATATATCTTCAAGAAAAGGAGGTTGCATATAACACAAATGGTTTACGGATTGCGGCGAACTGAAAATTTTGTAAAAGGAAACACCACATTCGTGTTCTTTCGCTGAATTTATTATACATCCGCAAAATTTAATCATACTAAACACTCCATGTCGTTTTCCCATCATAGGATTTTATCGTGCAATAATGTCGAAACGCGCATTCTCGAAGAACAAATGTTTACATATTTCGCACCTGACGGTATTTGCATCCTGTTGTTCGCAGGACGGTATATTGTTGCAACGCGGATACTTATTTGAATAATGATGATGTCCCTTCTTCTCGCAATAACCGATATTATACGGAATGCAATATTCCCCCACTCCCCTACTTCCCGCGGCTGCTTTTAAATTTAAAATCGACTTATAGTGACGTCATCCTCGTAATATTATATAAATCCGATACGAAGACTCACGTTCTAGCGCGGTATTATCAACCCCGGCGAATAAAAATATTCTTTAGCACGTCCGAAATTATTAAAATTATAAACTATAATTACGACATTAGATGTGGCGAGAAAACGTTGGAAACATTTGATTTCCCGAATCTCACAATCTTCCGGTGTTATAGTGATACCAGCTCTTCGTGTTATGTTGCAAGACTGAATTTTCGTGTCTTATCGCTTCCCACCGATATTGAAGTTCTTCCACTCATAAGTTTCGCGCTCATAGTAAATTTGAGCACATACAATAAGAAAGCGGAAAAAGCAAAAAAATTATCGGAATTGGAGATTGTTAAAATCGAACATCTTCCCGCATAAATTTATTCGCAGTATGTCTACGACTTCTCGGTATCATGATATTGAAAACGCATATGTTGAAATTTTGCGCGATATCAAAACCACCGGCATTACCGAACTTACAAGACACAAAATGTCTTCGTGAGTTAAATTCGTGTCGGACGAAACGATAATCTCACTGGACCATGCGTTAAATCCATCGAATCAAGCGAAAATCCTACATAATTGTCTGGTTTGGAGATATGTAATGCATAAATTTTGCTGAACGCATTTTTAAGCCAGTCGTGAATATCCTGTGATGCCCTATGGTATGCCGTATGGACACAAACGAAACGTCGTCTCTCTCTCTCTCTCTAACAGCGCAAAATAAGGTTATTAACCTTTAATACCCTTCCATGACACTGTAAGGAAGTCTTTCTACCGCTCGCAGAACTGGAGACGGAGGAATTCCTAATAATGATATTCATTATATATAAATTAAATACGAGCATAAGAATTAAGAAATAGTAAAAATAAAATTAAGCATTATATAGGAATTTCTCTTCTTCCTCCTGATCTTCATGTTCTTCCATATGTTCTCCTCCTCCTCTTCCTCCTTCTCCTCCTCCTCCTCTTTCTCCTCCTCCTCCTCCTCCTCCTCCGCCTCTCCCGTCTCCTCCCCCTCCTCCCTATCCTCCTCCTCCTCCTCCTCTTCCTCCTCTTCCTCCTCTTCCTCCTCCTCCTGCTCCCCTTCCTCTTCCTCCTCCTCCTGCTCCCCTTCTTCTTCCTCCTCCTCCTTCTTCTTCTCTTCTTCCTCCTTCTCCTCCTCCTCCCATTCTTCTTCTTATTCTTCTCCTGAAAGGAGAATACACATCATATTCTAGAAAAAGCAGTATCATAGTTTTTATCTTAAATTATTCTCTTCAGTTAAAATATATTTTTGTCTTTCATAAATTTACCAGACAAATGAAAAGGCGCGATAATCGGGAGAAACTCTATTTTCTTTCGTATTTGAAAATATTATATTATTGGGAATACAAATAAGTTTCCGCCGTTTGCAAAAGACTGCGCCACTAATAAACTAGTTAAAATTGTTTGATGTAAAATGACGTATCGTAAAATTGGACATCCGGTAACACCATAACCTTGAAATATTAGCGATTTGTATCAGCATCACATATTTTTTTTTTCTACGAAAATGTCGAGTTTTGAGCCGAATAAGCGTCATTTGCGGGAACTTTTGATTTACTGCTTTAATTTGAAGAAATCTGCAGCTGAGGCTCATAGATTGCTTGTAGAAGCATATGGTAATGCTGCGTTAAGTGAGAGAAATTATCGTGAGTGGTTTCAAAAGTTTAAGAACGGTGAATTTGACGTCGAAGACAAAGAACATAGCGAAAGGCCGAAAGTGTACGAAGACGCGAAATTGGAAGCATTATTGGATAAAGATTCATGTCAAACGCAAGAACTTGCACTTACATTAGGAGTGACTCAACAAACAATTTCATATCGTTTGAAATCATTGGGAATGATTCAAAAGCAAGGGAATTGGGTTCCATATGAATTGAAGCCGAGAAACGTTGAACGCCGATTTTTCACATGTGAAATGCTGCTTGCTAGGTATAAACGAAAGAGGTTAGGTATAAACGTAAAGGGGGGCTAGGTATAAACGTAAAGGGTTTTTTACATCATATAATCACTAGTGATGAAAAATGGATCTATTACGATAACCCAAAGAAGAGGAAATCATGGGGACCACCTGGCCATGCTTCAACATCGACAGCCAAGCCGAATATTCATGGAAAAAAACTCATGTTGTGTATTTGGTGGGATCAGTTTGGTGTCATGTATTATGAATTGCTCAAACCGAACGAGATCATTACTGGGACTCTCTACCGAACACAATTGATGAGATTGAGCCGAGCACTCAAGGAAAAATGAGCCCACTACTCCAGGCATGACAAAATTATTCTCCTGCATGATAATGCTCGACCACATGTTGCGGCGCCGATCAAAACTTACTTAAAAACACTCAAATGGGAAGTTCTACCCCACCCACCGTATTCTCTAGACATCTCCTTCCGACTACCACTTGTTCCAATCGATGACGCATGGCCTGTCTGAGCAGCACTTCACATCATATGAAGATACCAAAAATTGTATCGATGATTGGATAGCCTCAAAAGATGAAGCGTTCTTCCGCGGTATCCACATGCTACCAGAAATATGAGAAAAAGTGGCTAGCGATGGCCATTACTTTGAATAAAACATTATGTATCGTTCTTTCACAATAAATGCTTAATTTTTGATAAAAAACGGCGAAAACTTATTTGTACTCCCAATAATATATTAATATTTATATTAATATTTTATATCATTTGAAAGTGTTTTGCTTTAAAAACTGTACTTATCTTTTAGATATAAACTGACTCGATGAAAGATGAATTTCCGACCTCATCCTTTCTTCTTCTTCTTCCAATTCCTGAGTTAAAACAATTCGTGCCCTTCCTTAAAAAAGAAAGAAAACAATTAATATTAAAATATGAAGAAATTATAAAAAATTCATTTTTAAGTATTACAATTTTCTAATTTCATTATACTTACGCGACGGTCCTGCCATTGATTCTCCCTCCATGCGATGTTTCCATGATTGTGGAAGTAGATTTATCGCGTATTTCTCTCTCGAATATTGCCTACGACAATTTTTTTAGAAATTATTAATTATTTCAAGCTAAATGTAATCAAATTATTCATATATGATAATATCGAAATATTAGAATATAAATAAAAATGAAATAAAAATGAAATATTTACCTTCAGGCAGATGTGAGAGAAGAGATATGTCCTACCACATCTTGTTCCTCGTGTCCAAACAATCGTCGCATTTTTATCGTTTTTTGGGCTAATTGGAGAATACGCATGTCCTTAGTAAAATACTTTAACTTTTATAATATCCCAATATTACGTCCGAACATTCACATGTGAAGCCAGCAAAAAGCAAGTAATTGCGCTCCGAATTATCATTCAAACCGGCTAAAAATTTCTCCGCGATTATTTACGGATCAAGCATCGAAACAAGATTGATGATTCTGTGAATAATTTCCTTCTCAACACCCATTTCACAGAATTTTGTACACAATTTTACACAATTTTTGCACAGCATTCACGCGAGGCTTTTACGAAGTGAAACTCAAAAATGATTCTTCCCTAATACGAAACTCCTTATTTATACATAAAAAATTCTGTCCTTCTCTAAAAGTGGGATAGGAAAAAGTTTCGACAAAAAATTTGAAAAAAATTTAATCCTTATTATATACCTTAGAATGCACTCACACGAGACCGTAAAAATATTTCTTTATCTGTTATTGTGATGAATGTTTCAAACATTTCTTCTTTTCAAATAAATTTTTTAGTATCAAAGATTTATAACTCGTTATTTGTTGAATAGTTCATTAGTTGAATAGTTGAATAGTTTACAATTTTTTCCAAGCAACACTCGCATATTACAAGTTTGAATATGTCCGAATAAAATAATTTCGTTAATCTTGAAAGAAATTCTTTCCTTTGTAAATTTTATTACTTGTAAACTTTCTATATTTGTTACTTTGAAGAATAAATTCCTTCTTTTCAAATAAATTTATTTGTGAAATCAAAGATTTATAACTCATTGTCAGTTTAATATTCAGTGAAATAATTTTGTTATTCAACTTTCGAGAATTTCTTTCCTTTTTGAAAAAAATAATGCGTCATAGCATTGTATGAACGATTCTTCTAGAAATTATCTCTAGAGTACTTCTAGCTACTTCTAGAAATTACTTACTAAATTCTAGAGATCTTTTTTGTTATTTTTCGAAAAGTGTATAAGCATAAATTGCTTTGCATAGTGATACACTGTTTCATTCGAGTCTCATCGTGCGAAGCAACTATTTCGTGAGCAAACAAGTGCTTGATTTTTGTCCGACGTTTTGGATTATTTGTGTCGTACAATATTTCACAAAAGAGGAATGGCCGAGTAAAAAGACGCTAATATTTCGGAGAAGTCGGCGTGGATCCGCAATTTTGTCAAAATCTCAATCAGTTCGCGCAATGATGAAGACATGGGAAAAAACACCTGATTTCACATAACGTTATCAACAATATATGGACTTAACAACTCTCATACGAAGATGGTTCATGTGAGGTACAAAAAATAAAAGGAATTTTCAAGCCTCTTGTGAAATTAATGAGAAACAATGTGAATGGAATTTATTTCGATGCAGACTGCTGGCAACAGTTTGTAGACAACATGGAATTCATGAAGAAGTATTTAAGCGGTGATGACAGCTGTGAAACCAAACTTCATTGCCATAAGAAATATCCTTATCAATTTTAATACACCTTATGGTGCAAAATCAATATTGTTGGCATATAAAGAAGATGAAGAAGAATCTCTCTATGGGAAATAACTACAGAGATCTTCGGGAAAAAGAGAAAACATCGGATACAACACTACTGGCGAAGAAACGAAGAATCTACGCAGTGTAATGCAGGAAACTATCTTCTTCGGAATACAAAGCATTGTAAAATGTGTAAACGTGCATTTGAAATATTTAGAATCTCTGTCTGATAACAAACAATACACAATATTTAATTAAAGAAATTGAACTAAAACTGCCTGTAAATTATATTAATCATGAAATCATAAAATTAACATTAAAAGATAATTACGACAAAATTGCACGTAATGTGCGTATACAAATTAACGACTTAATTTTTCTCGATTCGTATTTTTACATATTTGTAGAATTAACATCATTATAACGAAATTTTTCATAATTCTTACGAACCGAGAATTGTAATTAGGGTCTAATTATACTAAAACTTTTTATTTTATTCAATTGAATTGTGTATGTTATTAAGATACAACAATAAAGAATTTATATAAATACATTTTTTTTATATTATAAACTCTCATTTATTTTTTTACTCATAATCTCACTCCCTTTTACAATAGACTCTTCCTCTGCTCTCCTTATTTCAGGCTTAGATGTAATGTATATTAAAAAAGTATAAAAATAATTTTTTCTTTAGAGTAATCTTCGAATTAATTACGTCGTGACAGGAACGAATATGTTCATTCCTGTTTTATCTCCCCTTTTTTCCAAGTAAAAGTAAGAGTTTCCCAGTCTCCAAAAATTTTCGTAAAAGATCCCATCATAAACCAAAAAAAAACACTTTCACTAAGTTAGAGACATAAGGTCGTGCCAACAAAAGATGACCCTCATAAAACTACCTGCTATTCATAATTTTATAATCACTTCATGAGAAGTTATGGAGCCAATCAGATCTTTGTCAGCTATAAAGCAAACCAATAAGAACATTCCATTTAATCACTCTATTACTCATCCCTTAATCCACCGATTATCCCACCATCCTTCCAGACAAACTCGTCTAGACTACGCCCATGATGGCGAGGATGGCGTGGAGGGATTTATTTTGAATTCAGGCGTGACGTGGAGGGGGAATATTTTGACGCGCTATAACTTCTTTATTATTATTACTGTCTTTTATTATTTTGGTTTGACACAGACTTGTTTTTTTTCTCTGATACGAAAAATTAAGAAAATTGCATTATATTTAAAAAAAAATACAGAGTTGGCAAAATTATTGTATAAAAGTAACTCTTAGAGAATATCAGTAAAAAATTAATCATCATATTTGATTGTTACAAAAAGTATACAGATATGAAGCGTACGTATATCTCTTTTGCATCTTAGAGAGGCTTGAACCATTTCTCAATAATATCAATTTCGGTCTCTGAGCTTCTGATCGCGCTGACTGTGCATCACAACCATAAAAATAATTTACACAACAATATTACACATATTAATTGTATTACAATTAAAATATAATGTTTAACAAGTTACATGTATATCAAATTTAAAAACTTAACAATTTTTTCAAATAAATAAGATTTATATACATTAATTCGATAAAATATATTTATGTAAAATTATAAAGAGATTTTAATAATAACATTCATATTGTACATGCAATTATATCAGATTTGTGATAATAATTGTTGCATTCATTATCAGCTAATAAGTAGATGAAGGATCTATTTTCAGACTATGTCTCAAAAAAATTTTTAATTGATTATCGCAAAGATCATCAGATTACCATTAGATTGAGATTTAAGAACCTGCAGCAGACTATCATTTGATGAATAATAATTGATCAGTGACTTCTTGAATATCTTGATCATCCTTACGAAAAAATACCCTCAATTTTGGGCGTTAAACACTCAAAAAGAACGCTCAAATTTGAATGATATTTGATAGATATTTTAAAAAACGCTTAACTTTAGATATAATTTCGGATTGTCAACTGAAGGTTACACCCAATTAAAGGTTAACGCCAAAGAAAATCTTCAAAATAAATGGTTTTATTATATAAAATTAATTAAATCTGTTTTATTCCTAAAATAATATTATTAATTTGCAATATTTTTCGAAATACACACGAATTATAATAAAATTATAATAAATTATAATAAAAAAAAGAATGCTCTCTCTTTTTCTCTCTCTCTTTTTCTCTCTCTCTCATATGAGAATTAATTTCCTTATTTTTCTAAGATCACCCATCCAATATCATACCCCATTCAACGGTGCTTGATCACTGCAATCGTATAGAACTTATTGATTCGATGATTCAAGAATATTGAATGTTAGTATTATAACTATGATATATTTCAACAGGGCCTCAACATCTTTAGAACTGCGTGAAACATCTTTTTGACAAACTTTATCTAGGCTGCGTTCAGAAACATCATCCGAGCTCCAATGTATTGTTTTATTCTTGTTGTCCAATGTGAAACAAGGATAATATAAAACACAGGGACATCCAGATGCAGGAGCATTCAATTTAAGTAATACCCAATGTTGACGGTCAACACTCAAATTTGTTAACACAATAAATTGAGGGACTTTTTTGTAAAGGCAGTGCCTTCGACTTACGAAAAAAATTCTCAATTTTTGGTTAACATTCAAATTAGGTATCTACCATCAAAATTGAATCAGCCATCAAATTGACCGTCAGTATTGGGTGTCATTTAAGCGTTGAGCATCAGTTGGATGCCGATTGTGACCATAAATATTCGATATTGCCTTGATATAGACACTCAATATTGATTGTCATTTGAGCGTTTACTCGATCATGACACTCAATATAGATGAGTATATAAATCTTAAATGGCTTAAACTTTTGAGTATTACTTTCAAAATTGAATGTTAATCTTTATGATTGAGAATTAACGCTGAAATGTTGAATGTAGATTCGTAGATTCATTTATGAAAAAAATATATTTTAACTATATGCATGAAACATCTTTTTGACGAACTTTGTCTAGGCTGCGTTCGGAAACTCATCCGAGTGTATCGTTTTATTCTATCCCCATGTATCGTTTTATTCTTGCTGTTCATTCATGAAACAAAGATAAAATGAAACAGCTGGGGACTCAGATGATGTTTCCGAGCGCAGCCTCTTGATAAAGGTTAAGGTACAAGATTGGATGGTGACTTAGAAAAATAATTCCCAAATGAGAGAGAAAGCGTTTCTTTAATTATAATTTTGTCGTGTGTATTTCGGAAAATGTTACAAATCAATAATATTATTTTAGCAATAAAACAGATTTAATTATAATAATTTTATTTAATAAAGCCATTTATTTTGATGGCTTTCTTTGTGCGTAAATCTTTAATATAACCTTCAGTTGACGGTCCGAAATCACACCCAAATTTGAGCGTTTTTTTAAGTGTTTAAACTTAAATTTGAGCATCTTTTTGAGTGTTCAATGTCCAAAATTGAGGATTTTTTCATATAAGTAATACTGATAAATCCTGTCCAAATCATTCTGAATTTCAATGGCAATTAAATATCTGCAATGACTTCGAATAAGATGAATATTTTCTATTACTTAACATAATATATTGTGAAAAAAAATATAATTAATATAATTTCTCAAATTTCTTTAAAAAAGGTTTTTAAAACTAATATATATATATATA